AACCTGCCACCTTAGGTATATGTGGCTGACGCCTTAGCCACTTGAGCCACAGGTGCCAAGCCTTTTTTGTTGTTTTTATGTGATATCAGTTTACTGGAGCTAACTGAAGAGTAGTGGTATATGATAGAATATTTCTTGTTCCTATTTGGTGTTGCATAGTACACCATTGTGTGGATGCCCCATGGGTTTTTCAACTTCTGCCCCAACAGATGGACACTTGGGTTGTTTTCAGTCTTTTTATATAAACTGCATGAGTGCTGTAACAAATAATGTTGTATATTTATCTTTTCATATTTGTGCCAGTGAACTTCGGTATAGATTGCTAGAAATAGGATGGCTGAATTAAAAAGGGTAAATACATACATGATTTTGCTAGATATTGCCCATTACTAGGGGTTGTGCCTTTTGCATTCTCGCCAGCAAAAGTGCTCCTTTGCCCAGCCTCTCCCAGCAGAGTATGTCATCACATGTTGAAATTTTCCTCCAACTCCTGGGCTTAGGTGATACCCTTGCCTCAGCCTTCCGAGTAGCTGGGACTACAGGCACCCGCCATAATGCCTGGCTATTTTTTTGTTGCAGTTTGGCTGGGGCTGGGTTTGAACCTGCCACCCTTTTATGTGGGGCTGGCACCCTGCCCACTGAGCCATAGGCACTGCCCTGTTTTTAACTTTTTTTTTTTTTTTTTGAGAGAGTCTCACTATTGTTGCCCTGAGTAGAATGCCATGGACTTACAGCTCATAGCAACCTCCAACTCCTGGGCTTAAGCAATTCTCTTGCCTCAGCCTCCCAGGTAACTGGACTACAGGCACCCACCACAATGCCCAGCTATATTTTGGACGTAGTTGTCATTGTTGCATGGCAGGCCTGGGCTGGATTTAAACCCGCCAGCTCAGGTATATGTGGCTGGCACCTTAGCCACTTGAGCTACAGGTGCCGAGCCAAAGGTTTTTTAAAATAGAAAATTCTCCTCTCATCTACTCTTGTCCCAGAGATAAACACCTCTATATCAGTTTACTTGTGAATCCTAGAGCACTTTGTGTGTGTGTCTATGATTTTACACAAGGCTGGGCACAGTAGTTCATGCCTAGCACTTTAGGAGTCTGAAGCTGGAGGATAGCTTGAGGTTAAGAGTTCAAGACTAGGCTCAGCACTTGTAGCTGAAGCAGCTGAGACGCCAGCCACATACACCAGAGCTGGCGAATTCGAATCCAGCCTGGACCTGCTAAACAACAGTGGCAAGTACAACCAAAAAAAGCTGGGTGTTATGGTGGGTGGCTATAGTCCCAGCTACTTGGGGTGAGGCAAGAGAATCACTTAAGCCCAGGAGTTAGAGGTTGCTGTGAGCTGTGACGCCACCGCACTGTACCTAGGGCAGCAACAGCTTGAAGCTCTGTCTCAAAAAAAAAAAAAGAAAGAAAGAAAAGAAAAGAGTTCAAGACTAGCCTGAGTAAGAGCTAGACTCCTATACAAAAAATAGAAAAATTAGCTAGGCATGGTGGTGTGTCCCAGCTACTGGCTACTCAGGGGCTAAGGTAGAAAGGAAGATCCCTTGAGCCCAAGGGCTTGAGGTTACAGTGTGTTACGATGACGCCACTGTACTCATCTATGCATTAGAGCAAGACTCTGTCTCCAAAAAAAGAACTAAAAAAAAGGGGCGGCACCTGTGGCTCAAAGGAGTAGGGTGCTGGCCCCATATGCTGGAGGTGGTGGGTTCAAACCTAGCCCCAGCCAAAAACTGAAAAAAAAAAAAAAAGAAAGAAAGAAAGGAAGAAAACCGAATACAAATACAAGCTGACCTGTACCTGGTTTTTTGACTTAATATATTTGTTTTGTGTCTCTTTCCACATGTAAAGCTGTTTTTGAATGCCTAGATAGTGTTCTTTTAAATGGACATGCCATAAATTACTTAAGTTGCCTATGTGATGGCTAGTTAGGTAGTTTCGAGTTTTTTCCTATTACATGTTGGCATGAGTAGCCTTTGAACCACATAGTATACATATTGTCCCCTGTTTGTGAGTATTCTCTAGGGCAGATTATTGGAAGTAGATTTGCAAGGTTAAATGGTAGGTGTGTTTTCCATGTTAGTACCTCCCGTATGTTTGATATCTCACATGTACACCATCTGTGGAAGATGGCGTCAGTTTTCTTACATTACTGCTAGCTTTGGACTCATACCCAAGCTAATGGGAGCCTAGTTTTCCATCATCTTTCAAGATCTTCATCTTTTATATATATATTTCATTATCCTTTCTCCCTCCTTCTCTCCCCTGCAGGCCCTAAAAGACAGCAAGGTGGTAGAGATTGTTGACGAGAAAGTTCGTAGGAGGGAGGAACCTGAGAAGTGGCCTCTTCCTGGTCCCCCAATAGTGGATTATTCGCAAACTGATTTCTCCCAGCTTCTTAACTGCCCTGAGTTTGTCCCCCGCCAGCACTACCAGAAGGAGACAGGTAGGTTCCTACTGGCATGAGGATGCCTCCTTCTTGCTCTCTGGCCAGCAGTTTTCCTCAGGGCTGACATAGGAGGAAGACTGGAGGGCTGAGCACCTTACCCTTCTACCCTCAGAGTCAGCACCTGGCTCTCCACGTTCAGTCACCCCAGTGCCAACCAAAACGGAGGAGGTCAGCAACCTAAAGACTCTGCCCAAGGGCCTATCTGCCAGCCTGCCTGATTTGGATTCTGAGAACTGGATTGAAGTGAAGAAGAGGCCTCGCCCTTCCCCAGCACGGCCCAAGGTGGGTGAGGTCCGTCCTGAGCCTGGGTTTTAGGACCTGGGTTGAAGTGCTTGGAGGGGAGATTGTGGCACAGAGCTCTGGCTCTAAGGGGCTAGAAGGAAAGCTTGGCGAGGGCCAGGTTCACGGTCATATTCTAAGTAGAATTTACCAGTAGTGACTGCAGAAAGATTGATGTAGCCTGTTCCTTTTTCCTGTAGTTATCACCCTTTAGGGTGTCCTACTATATGACTCTGAGTGGCATTTTTCATAGGAAGAGATGTTTTTGCCTCTGGTAGCAATGTTCTAGGCTTCTTGATTCTTGCCTATTTGCGTCTTCTAAATCCCTGAGTATACATTTTCAGTGCCTTTCTCCTGAATCTATCCTCTTTGTCCAATATATAAGAATCTTAGACTTGCAGAAAGGGAAGGGAGAGAGAGCAGATGTGGAGTTAGTCTCCTGCAGTGATGGCTAGGTAACTTTCAGAAGCTTGTTTAGTATCTCAAAGCTTCAGTTTTCCGGCTTGGTTCCTGTGGCTCAAGTGGCTAAGGAGCCAGGCACGTACACCCAAGGTGGCGGGTTTGAATCCAGCCCAGGCCCGCCAAACAACAATGACGGCTGCAACCAAAAAATAGCCGAGCATTGTGGCGGGCGCCTGTGGTCCCAGCTACTCGGGAGGCTGAGGCAGGAGCCCAGGCTGAGGCTTGAGCCCAGGAGTTGGAGGTTGTTGTGAGCTGTGATGCCATGGCACTATACCCAGGGGGACAGCTTGAGGCTCCTGTCTCAAAAAAAAAAAAAAAAGCTTCAGTTTTCCCATCTTAAGATGAAATGAAGTCAGGGTTAGACTGCTCCAGAAATAGTAAATGTTTTTTTTGTTGTTGTTGTTTGTTTGTTTTTTGAGACAGAGTCTTACTATGTCTCCCTTGGGTAGAGTGCTATAGCATCACAGCTCACAGCAACCTCAAACTCTTGGGCTTAAGCGATTCTCTTGCCTCAGCCTCCCAAGTAGCTGGGACTATAGTAGCTGGGACAATAGCCCACCACAACGTCGGGCTATTTTTGTTGTTGTTGTTGTTGCAGTTGTAGTTGTTTAGCTGGCCCGGGCTGGGTTCAGACCCACCAGCCTTGGTGCATGTGGCTGTAACCACTGTGTTACGGGCACTGAACCAATAAAGTTTTATTTATTTATACACACACACACACATAATTACAGTGAGAGTTTACTGTTAAAATGTTCTAATCTCAAACTAAAATTATGGCTTGGTTTCCAAGCACCAAATTTTACTTCATCCACCTCTCCACATGTACCTCACTTTGGAGATCTCTTTGGTCTGAAGTTTGTAAGGATATCTCAGAATTGACCTTGGACTTTGTGTCTGTGGAATTCTGTGCTTCCTTATCTATTTTGCTACTATGACTGCCTTTTATCTCCTTCCTTTCTCCTGCCTATTAATATCCAGAATTCCCCACTGCTCTAGTTTAGCTCTTTACAAGAATGCTAGAAAGATCAGGCTAGAATCATTAGGAAGAAGGTAGAACATGGACAAGGAGTTTTTACAAGGTCTAGGCCTTATAGACTACAAAAGCTTTGGAAAGATGGGAGCCAGACTTAGTTTCTCAAGTTTCTCATTCCAGAATTAGAACCTTAACTCCCACCTGGCTTGTCTTAAACCGTAAAAGAGAGAGGTTTGAATTTACATGGGAAGCTCTTAACACAATAGGGAATTGCTTTTGGATAAATACTGTGAGATAGATGAATTCTTCTTCCCCAGAGTCTCAGATAAATTCATTCGTTGGCACTGAAATATTTTCTCTTTGCTGGAGGCACCATTTTCTCTTGTCTTTGATACATGCTGTTCTTTTCTGCCTAGCACACTCTATCCCTGCCTTCATCTGGCTTACTAATTCATCCTGTGATAGTCACTTCTTCCAGGAAGCCTCCCCTAACTAACCATTCCCATTCCCAGTTGTCTAAGCACTCCTTCCTATGTGCTCCCATAAATCCTTCTTACATCCTTTACCATATGACGTTGGGCCTGGCTGGTTGGTTGATCCTCTCCCCCCCCCCCAAATTATAAGCTTTCTAAGTATAGGGATTTTGTCTTGCTCACTATCCTGCTTTTAGGTTTTTCATACAGAGCCTAATACTAGTGGGTACTTATTATAGTAAAACATCTGTTATATCTGGGTTTTAATCTAGGTACTGTGTATATAATGGAAAGCAAGGCAACTATGGTTCTTACTTCATGAGTTCCCATGGTCATATGTTGAGTAGATGGATAAATGGATGTATCAGGTTGTTGAATTTAGCTGTGTGCCCACTCCCAGTGTAGGTACACTATAGAATATAAAGGTAAATGAGAGCACAGTTCCTATCTATAGAAAACTTGGTATCTAAATTCATGAATCACTATGATATGATCTGAACTACTTTGGGACATCCTTTCCCTATGAATCTGACTCCCAGGAGAACACCATGACCTGATGGTGTTACTAGAGCCAGTTGTGACTTTCTCATGCTGAGGGGCTGGAGCCTTCCTCCTACAAGGACTCCTGGTGATTCCCTCTTCCCTTGGTCCATCCCTGTTTTAGAAGTCAGAAGAACCCAGGTTTGCCCACCCGATCTCTCTGCCTCAGCAGCTACCCTCCCATCAGCTGATGTCCAAGGATCAGGATGAGCAAGAGGAACTGGATTTCCTGTTTGACGAGGAGATGGAGCAGATGGATGGGAGGAAGAACACCTTCACCGCCTGGTCTGATGAGGACTCTGACTATGAGATTGATGACCGGGATGTCAACAAGATCCTCATTGTCACCCAGACACCACCTTACATGCGCCGGCACCCAGGGGGGGACCGTACAGGCAATCATACCTCACGTGCCAAGATGAGCGCCGAGCTGGCTAAGGTCATTAATGATGGCCTTTTCTACTATGAGCAGGACCTGTGGACTGAGAAGTTTGAGCCTGAGTACTCCCAGATCAAGGTAAAGCTTTTATTTTGCAATGAATGTGGGCCTAGGATGCCTATAAAGTCTGAAGAAGAGGAATGCTCATAGCTGTGTGACTCTAGTCAGGTTGCTTCAGTCCAGAGCTTCAGTATTTTCATGTCTGAGAAAGGGGTGTTGATTCATGCTGGGACAGTAAGAGCAAGTGAACATGTAAACCAGTGCACATGGAGGGAAGTGATTATTGTCCTACCTGAGAATCTGTATTAACGTTGTAGCAATTGAGTAGACACTTTTGTGGGGAATAGAGTAAGGTTTAGATTGTCACTTTTATTTGCCAATATTTAGGCATATATAAAAGTTTAAAAGCCTTCTAAGGATCTTGGCCGTGAGTGTGGAAAATTGAGTAAAGAGGTTCTTTAGAAAATTGCTTCCTGTAAACAGTCACATCTCTGTTGGATATTATAGAGTGGTATGTCTGGTGGTTGGCCTTTGGTGAGCCAGTGTAATAAATAGCAGTGTATTTGCTGGAGGTAAGGAGAGAGTTGCTCAGTCACTATGTGATAGGACAGTGGCAGGAGAGGTGGAGAGGCACTGGAACTTTTGAGAGTCTGTAGTGAGTTCGTAAGGAGCTGTTGTCAGCCTGATCTCAGTCTTATTGCAAGGTGGGTGGGGCAAGCACTATCCTCTTTTGGTCTTCTTCCGGATTAGCAGTACATTCATGCCAGTGTGACTTAGGAATGGTGGTGGGGCAGCTGAGAGCCCGGGGACCAGAATTCTGTATGTGTTGATGTGGGAGCTGCCCTCTCCAACTTCCTGCCAGTCTTGATTCCTGAACAGGCTGGAGCAGCCTGCTTACTAACATTTTTCCCCACCCATCTCATATCCTCTGCAGCAAGAAGTTGAGAATTTCAAAAAAGTCAACATGATTAGCCGGGAACAGTTTGACACACTGACCCCTGAACCCCCTGTGGATCCCAACCAGGAGGTTCCTCCTGGGCCACCTCGGTTCCAGCAAGGTGAGGGGCAGTCACTTGAGATCCTGACGTGGGTGAAAAGGTCTGGAGTACACAGGTTGGAGAGTTTTCCTTACATGCTAAAACCCCTCTCTGTCTCTATAGTTCCCACTGACGCCCTGGCCAACAAGTTGTTTGGTGCTCCTGAGCCCTCCACCATTGCCCGCTCTCTACCAACCACTGTCCCAGAGTCGCCAAATTACCGCAATTCCAGGACCCCCCGCACTCCCCGGACACCACAGCTCAAAGACTCAAGCCAGACATCACGGTTTTACCCAGTGGTGAAAGAAGGACGAACACTAGATGCCAAGGTGGGGCAGTCCTCAGGGCTGCTGAGCATCTGGGGCCCACTGCCTGCATTTCAGTGCTTTGCTTCTCCCTTGCCTTGTCTGAGCCAAGGAGGTGCCGGATCTCCTGCCACCTTTGGGCTGTTGGGCTCACCTGGGATTGAGTCGCCACATCTGCAAAGTAGACTAGGTATAGAAAGTGTTGACATCACGTAGCCATGAAAAGGCCTAAGGAAAAACCAGATGTGAGTTCTTGGGCAAAATCACTTTACTCCCAGGCCTTGATTTCTTCACCTGTGAAATAAGCATGCCATTTCCTAGCTCACAGCTGAGAATATTATGTGAGAGAATAGATGTGCAGATGTCCAAAAGCTGTTGTAAAAAGTGAGATACCAGGTATAGATGAGGGCATCTTAGTACTGTGACTGCTTAATTCTCAGAGTTGTAGGAGTACGAATAGTAACAAACTCTGGATTGACCTTTGCAGATGCCTCGAAAAAGGAAGACGAGACACAGTTCAAATCCACCCTTAGAGAGCCATGTAGGCTGGGTAATGGATTCCCGTGAGCACAGGCCCCGGACAGCTTCCATCAGGTACCTGGGGAAGAGGGTGGCAGGCTGCTTGTGGGGTGGGAAAGCTACTGAAATGTAGTACTGAAATCTGCCATGAAATCTACTGGACCAAGAAAATTGGTCTGAAAATTACAGAGATCTTCATCTGAGTCAAAAAAAGCAGTGGTTTAGAAAGTTTAGTTTAGGCACAAGGATGGGAGTCTTCTTTCTAAAGAAGTGGTGTTGCAACCACATGAGACAAGATTTTAGAACACTCAGAGAGAGACTGTCTTTGAATTGATTTCTAAAGCTGGGGGTATCTGCTGCCCACCTGAGGAAGGATAGCATTGTAATTGAATAAAATACAGATTTCTTGGCCCCACCCTAGGTCTACTAATTAACTAAGCTTCTGTGGGTAGAACCCAGATTCCTTTTTATTTATTTTGGTAGAATGGCCATAGTTTTTGTTCCTTGTTCTGATTCAAGGTTTGGGAGCTACCAGCCTATTCTCTTTAGTCTCTGCAGAGATGGCACAGACTGAAAATAGGCATGGTTTTGGAAAAAGAATGTGTAGGTCCTTGAACAATGAGGCGTGAGGACATTAGGGGCGTTGACCCGCTGCTACCAGCACCACCCCAGCCGTTAGTCAAACCTACATAACTTTTTTTTTCTTCTTCTTTTTTTTTTTTTTTTTT